CTTACTTTGGCACTAAAGCTGAAAACATCGTGATTTTTTCATATCAATGTGTGAGGTATTCGATATATTTAGCATAGCAGGGAAGTACAAAAATTTCTGAGCAATTTTGAAAGTCTTTTAAGTGCTCTCACTATTCCTTTCTCACTAATTAAAGAATCAATGATCTTTGGTTGTATCAACCAATCTGGAATTTATACCAGAATTGATAATGAAATTACTCTGTTCATTAAACAATATATATACAAACCCAGATGTTTTCATAAGTCCCATAATGTGACGGCTTTAGTCAATTCGATTAAAGATTACTATAAGGTTCAGAAATATATTGCTCGTGGTAAAGGGGAACAAGGCCTTAGAAGATTTACTTCTGAATGGGAAAAATGGTTAAAATTAGTAGAGCTTGACCTCAACTAACCCTGAATTTTATGACTATTTATATTAAGTTATTAGTTGTTATTCTACTTAAAAAAAACAAAATATTGACAAATACTCACAGCAGTTATTTATTTTATTTATTATCTTTTCAGATTTGGCTGTCTGTTCTCTCTCTCTCTCTCTTTGTTTTGTCTATTCTATGTGTGAAAGTGTGTGAAAATTGAGTGTGTCTTGGTGATTGTATAAAATCAGCATCAGATGATGAGGATGATGAGGAGGATGAGGTTGCTGATAATTTCAATAGTAGATATGGGTGAATGGGTGGATATGTGTTGATGTGATGTTCTGTATAATGTACGTGTTCTGAAAATCTTTGAAAATAAAAAAATTAAATAAAAAAAAAAATATTTAGCATAGTTTTTTTTTCTAAAAGATGCAATTTTATTGAAAAACTGAAACCTTCCACAACCTTACATAATAAATTATGTTCCATATGACATTTAATTTTCCATGTTAATTTTGCTTGATTCAGTGTTCATGGAAAGAAATGATTTTTGCTCGATATTGATTTCCGCGATAAGATTATTGCTAAATTGCGATGTATGATGTTTTGTTCGTGAATATATAACTCTATATAACTAACATATAAAAGTACTAAACAAAAAGCTGACATGTATTGTTTTCATTTGCATTCCATACACCAGAAATCGTACATGTAATCAAGACAGGGAGGGTTTTCTTTTCATAAACAAGTACGATTTTCAACCTGGCCCGAGGATGGCACCTGACACATGACCCATGTTTTTTTTTATAAATTTGTCATTAAGTTATCGCTCGGTGGATGAGGAAATTATCTTTTTGTTATGGCATTTCACTTTAACCAACACATACATTTTCGACACAAATGAACAAAACATTTTTCTTGACAAGAGTAGGTATTGTCACGATTTTTTTATTATTTTTTTTCAAAAATGTATGTGTTGGTTAAAGTGTAATGACATAACAAAAAGATTCAATGGTGCACCATTGAGTAGTGTAATATTACAAACTGAAGTATAAAAATATGAACACGCATGCAGTGGGATTTGAGCTACAACATGGAAGTATTAGAACTTAACTAAATCCACAACATGAATCAAATTATATAGGGCGCTATATAAATGTTGTATATTATTATTTATTATTATTAACATGGAAACGGAAGGAAATGAAATACAACGATACCAGATTAGTCTTCACATATTAGTTTGCAAAAGAGTGTTGTCACAATAAGGTTTTATTGTCTCACATTTCTTCATATCCCGACGATAAGCTCTCAAACAAAATTTTCCTGGTGTTTGGTATCTGTATTAATGTTTTTATATTGATAACGCAAACGCTTATTTTTAAGAAACCCTTTCTGTCTCATATAGTCTAGCATCCAGGTCTTCCAAATTAAATATCCATTAGATACACGCTCCCCTTCATATACAACAACTCCATCTTGAATAAAGGAAAGGCCCTCAAATAATCCTCCGTAGTTTGCTGGCGTCGTTTAACATTTGATTAACTAATATAGGACAATGTGTACATATGACATACATTTTCTTGGCCGCAATAATGCTGTCTTCTATTTACTTATGTTTTTGAATCGAAACTTTATTAATCCTCTTCGTTCAGCGTCGCACATAAAGTAATCACCAGAGACTTCCAGTGCTGTCTGTCTTGGGACCATCGTTGTACTTGTCCTCACGTCCATCCTTCTTCCTTCATTTCCTTCTCGACCGACCGCCTCCGGGTTTCCTTGGATCTTCTTCTCATCCCCTTGTCTGATGGTGTCTATCTCATCGCTGCCCTTGTGATGGAATCCGGGTGCATCCTGCAGACGTGCCCAATCCACCGCCATCTTCGCTTTATATCCTGTGACAGCGGTACGGTGTTTGTCCTCCTGTACAATTCTGCATTGGAGATGGTCTGAGGCCAGAAGATTCGCAAGGTTCTTCATAGACATCTCGTCTGGAAGACATCCGGCTTGTTATTATTTTGGTGGTCAAGTGTAACTTCCAAAATTCAAAACAAGAGGACGACTATGAGTTTGGAAGTCCAACAAGTTCAATACCTGGCTAGAGCTCAAATGGATGACTTCGGCATCTGGCGCCTTCCCTCCTAAAACTGTCTCTTCTACTTCTACCAGTTTCTGACCAACTTCAACAGGTTGAAGATTACGTCATGTGTGTTGTGGCATAAAAGGAAAGGGAACAAAATTAATATTGAAAGGAAAAGATTGCAGTTTTTAAGGTGGATAGAGTATTTGCTAATTAAATTTCAGGGAGTAGTTTATATAAATCATTGAATGTCCAGATAAAGAAATATTCTTTCCTCGTGAATGTTCTACAAGATAAAAAGAATTTTGATGTGCCTGGATTGTCTAGTTGTGAGGACCAGAAGTGTAGAATTGATGGTAACTTTGCTATGGCATAATTTTAAGAGCATAGTCAGTCTTGCATCCTTTCGACGATCTGCAAGACTGTGACATTTTATATGTTCTAACCTATTTTAAAACAACGCTTGATGTTGGCAATGTCTGTCGGTAACAAAACGGGTAGCCATGCACTGGACTATTTCTATCTTATTGGTGTCTTTTTCATACCGTGTCCCAGAATCAACTCACATACTCTTGTTGCGTGCTAACTACGGACTAATATACCTTGTCTTTGATGTCAACAGATGGAACCTATAGGTATAACCTCAGGAAGCCCAAGGTGACGTTAGCTCTCTTAATGATGTTACTAACATGGGACTCCCACTTAATGTCTAATCTTACAGTAACACCAAAGAATTTGGCTTCCGACACATGTTGGAGTTCATGGTCATAAAGTGCATATGAATGACCTCTTTGAAATAGTCGAAATACCTGGACCACCAAACTGTTTTTTAGAAACCGTATGATATAGACAGAGTCTGTGTAACCCTCTTCTTTCATGATAGTGCTGCCTTTTAAACCTTTTAAACGAACAAACTGAGTCATTTGAGTTTTCATATGTGGAATGAACTGTGCAGCAGTCACTGTTTAACATCAACATGCTGAAGACATATTGACACTGTTTCAGTAACCGAGTCAGCCGCCCTACCATCCACTTAGACAACAAAATGAGGAATGTTCCATTATCATTATGTAAATCTTGTACAATTCCCTCTATAATTGAAGACGGTTCTGGATCACATTCCTTGATTAGCTAAACTAATTCTACAGAGCAAGTATTTTACCAGACCATAGGAAAACAAGGCAGAAGCTTGTCAATAAATGGCGTGTAAAAGTTTTAAATTCTTCAGAGGTTATAACAAAAATCAAATGGTGCCTTCATATTACGCTTATCTACTTTGTACATCATCATAAGAACGTTGACGCGCCGAGACCATACTGTAGTCAAAACATTTTTTTTGTCCCTGAAATTTTTATTTTCCTTTGAAAGGATTTTTTCCCATCCAATTTGCTTCTCCTTTTAAATTCCAGTGTACTTTTATCTGAAATCCATTTTGATAATTTTGTATTCTTTACTTGCAGTAGAAACACTTAAGGTACAATAAGCTTAACTCTTATTGTTGTACAAACATCTGTGTACTGTCATCAAAGTAGCTCTTTTTATATCGACAAACAAACTAGACAGAACTAATGAAACAGCCATTTTTTCACTTTTGAGAATTAGGGGCCAGCTATTTTTAGTACCAATGTTACTTTTTGTTTTAGATACATTTTTTCTGTTGCATTTCGGATCAGACAAACAAATGATATGTTTCAACAAAACTTTAATCATAAAACAAAATATTTCATCAAAAGTAAATCATACATAAACAAATAATTAAAGTATTATTTTAAAACTAATAACTGAGCATTTGATTCAAAGATAAATGAACACAAACTAATTCTATATATAACATTAATCAAATATTGTATTGTAAGAAAAAATTAACATGAATCATCCATCTCGTAATGTAATTACATCAGCTCCTATATAACATGGGGACAAACATGTAACGCATGTATATTACGAACACAATTTTGACAAAATCTTATTTTTTCATTCTCTTATAGTATTGTTCCTTGTGAGCTTTATTTTGACAGTTTAGTGGGCATCTGAGCATGCTTTTACGTCAATTATCTTATCGATGCAGTGATTAATGATTGCATTGCAGTTTTGGCAAATCTGTATTATAATTTCTCATAATCCTTGTTTCACAAAAGTTACACAATATGCTTCAACTATTTGTATCAAATACTTACTTTATCATTTTCTTAATTCCAAAATGGTTGTCTTTTCTTTCAATGTTATATTTTTCCTGTATAGAAATATCTGCATGCTATTTTCAGATAAAGGTGAAATAGCAAAAATAAAAACATTTCGGGAACCTTGTAGAGTCAATAGGTTTCCTTCACTTGAGAATTAAGGTTCAAGTATTTTCAAAACTAACATTATTATTGATTACAGATCATTGTTTTCAACTGTATTTTGATAGAGACAGAAATATATCATATTTAAACAAAACTTGAACCAAAAAAATAATAATAATTATTTCATCACAGATATAACAATCAAAATACCATTATTATTATATAAAACTAATCATTGAATATTTGATATAATTAAGATATAACATTAATTAAAAATTGCATGGTCAAAATATCAACATAAAATGACAATCTTCATATAGTAATTATATAAACTCTAATATACAACTCACGTGGACAAACTAATACTGTATGTGTATATTATGAACACAATTTTGACCAAAAAAAATATTTTCATCATTCTATGATATCGTTGTTTCTTGCAAGATATTTTTTACCTTGACAGTACATTTTATAAGGAAGTTAATTAGTCAAGAAGCTTTGGAATTGGAAAATATTTTGGAAAGTGAAAAATATTCTGGAGTTATGACAAATTATTTTGTGGATTTATTCGTCATTTATTGTTTAAAAGTATAAATGACATGTCAACAAATGTCTTTTCAAAGCTTGTTGCATTTTTTCACATTTTTACTTTCATAAAAACAATGTCATTAGAAAACAAAAACAATAAAATAAAACAATGAGGTATTTGCATTAAGCAAGTTTCAAAGATAAGATCATCAATTGACAATTACAACAGAGAAAATTAAAAAGAAATGTACTAAAGCATCATCAACACAGCAAGGTATTTGTGATGATAATGATGGCTAATCTCACACTTGGTTATTCTCTTGTTTTCTTCTTCAATACCAATTCAATATTTTTATCAGCATTAGAATACGAAACCATGACATTTCAAAATTACAGGATTGGATCTAGTATCTTTGCTATTTTTCCTTTCAGTTGCAGACAGCAGCAATTACTCTTGTCTCGTTTATTTTTAAAACTAAATGTGTATATTGGTTGTTTAGACGCCCTAAACTAAAGCAGTTAGATTTTCCTGAAGCTCACTTTCATGACTGACCTGAACAGAATATTGTATAACATAGTATGACTAGAACTGTTTATTTAGCTACTAAGCAATTGTCATGGATAAAATGAGTTATAAGTATTGGAACTATTTGACACTTTGGTGATGTAACATACACAATTATTGTTTGGCCAAGGTTTTTTTAGGGAAGCAAACTGAACATTTATCTGAGATGATCATGATTTCCTATTTTTACAGAAATGATGCAGTACGTACCATTGTATGCATTTATCCTTGTATTTGTCATAATATACTTGTGTTTGTCATAATATACTTGTGCAATGTGTAATATCATAAGTACTCGTCATTTAAACATACATATAAACATAACAATTGAAGCAGGTATGAAATTAGAAACATCTTTTTTCAAGGGTGTACAATTCTAAATTTAGCCCACAACAACATGTTGGAAAAGGCTACTATTAAACTTCAAATTGTTTTTACTGGCCCTGACATCAAATTAACCATCCATGTGCAATGTCTAGTGGAGAGTGGAGTTGTAAACAAACAATCCTTTGGACCCTAGACTTAGTATTAAATATAAGGCAAGTTTACATACATTTGTAAATAATAATAACATTTTTCCTTCTGATATGTATTAGATCTTCAAGGCATAACAGTATTACGAAAACTTGGTGGTGGATCTCATATCCTGATGTGGAATGTACTGAAAAAATAACAAATTGCTTTGTTAATTAAACTGCTAATTCACATATCTGATAAACCTCTGATAAACCTGTAACACATTGTATTTGTAATTAAACTGCTATTTCACATATCTGATAAACCTCTGATAAACCTGTCACACATTGTATTTGTAATTAAGCTGTTGAGCTCTACAAGTACATCATAATGATATAGAGTTCCCAACTCCTTATGGATTAAATGAACAAGTAAGGTTTTGGTAATATTGCTTTTATTGGTCAATATACAAGTAATGACCTTCAAATTTGCCACAAAAAATGTCACAATTCAGGCCTTGTGACATGATACTTAAACAACTAATGCAGATTTTATTCTTACATTATGATTATGTGAGATTTTTCTCAGATTGTAAACTTTAAAAGTCATGTCTGTAAATTGGACATAACTAATATGAATGTTAAGGGAGAAAATAATCCCCAAAACTTGTGAAAATAGCTTATCATGTTTGTCTAGTTCTTATAAGTTAATTTTAATAGACACTTATTAAAACATTGAATTGTGTCTTCTGAAAATTACTGATATGAACGAGATAAAAAAATCCTATTTTTGGGAAACCTCTTCAAAGAAAGTGTAAGTACTCAGGAAAGAAAATTTGACAGTACAACTTCATTTGTGCCATACAGGTTGTAGTATTGCAAACAAAAAGAGCATCTCAGTAACATTTTTACATGGCAAAAAATATTATAATTTCCATTTAATTTATGGGTTTTTTAACATCTACCATCTTTTCTGAGAGAGTTTAGAAGTTGAAGACAGACTTAGATATGCTACTATATATATACAATAATGTAACTATCAATGCATCGCTATAAAATATCTTAAATACACATTTGGGGTGGGATAACTTACTTGAGAAAATCTGGTGAACGAGAAATGACTTGCTCAAATTCTATGTAAGACAGCATGCCATCATCATCTAGGTCTGTTTCTTCCAGCACCTGTAAGGGGAGATAACCAAGATGATGTTCCTATAAAAATGTCAACTTGATTGCTACATGACTAGTTGCAGCAACTTGATTACAAATCTGAAGCCAATACTAAGCAGCCTTAGGACTAAATACTGCCGTGGCTGAATGAGTTTTTCATGCAAAATATTTTAAAGGAACTAAAAACAAAATTTCTTAATTATCTAAGTGAATAAATTTAACCTAGTATAACATCACAAAATACAGTTTCCTTAAAAATAAATGATTGCAGTAGTTTGTATGTTCTGAACCTAGCAAATCGTGTTATGTCAACCAAAATTTATTTTTAAGAAATAAGTCACATATTTCATAATAGTAAAATTTACTTGTTAAACAGACTAAGGTTTCGGAAATGATTCCTTGACAGGAAACACAATTGTTATGTGTCTCTGAATAAACATGTTTTACAAGGAAATAGCACGAGAACTGACAGAAGCATTTTGGAAGTATAACCTAATGTTCTGTCATGTTCCTCAGCTAAATTTTTATTAGAAGGTACCTTGTCTACAACAAAGGATTTCTCATCCTGTGAAAGCTCTTCTTTTGTAAGACAAACCAGGGTTTTCTCGAGGTCGCTACGGTTGATGAAGTGGTCACAATCAAAGTCTACAGAAAAAACAGAAGATCATGTCATGTTTTTAAACAGACAGTGGTCACTTCACAAATAAACTTGCAGTACCTAGTCATTAATAAAACACACATCCACTTGATACATTGGAAAAAACCAAGGTGCACCAAAGTTATAACAGTATATCTAGATATAACTGGTAAAACAGGCTCATATCCATTAATAAGCCCACCTACTTTTGACATGTTTAATCCACAGGTCTCCTGGGCTTATCACCAGTAAAAATACTGTAGAAACCAAAGAGGTATTTTCAGACCTCCGCCTCCCTAGCGTCTCCTTACTAGATATTCAAACATTATCTTTAAGACTTCAAATGGTATGTTCAACCTAACTTGTTTTCGAAACATATGCCTCAATCTAGTCTATCAAGCTATAGAAATGGCAGCTTGCATATAATGGGTAGAAATCCTGGCAAAGGCTGTCCTCTTTCCATGGGGTATTACCTGTCATTCAAAAACAAAGCTAAAGTCTATCTTTATGTATGATCCTTACTAGAATAATTGTATGGACTGAAATTGGAAGGGGGGAGGTGCCCAGTTCCAAAGAATATGGATTCACAGTAATTACCATACATCTTGAAGGCATACACTGTTTTGATGTCTCTGGGTGCAGCCTCAGACAACACAGAAAACATATCCAGGAAATCATCAAATGACATATCTCCAGATCCATCCTCGGAAAACACCTGACATAGTCGATGTCGAAATGGATTTTCCTGAAATGTTCAGAAAAATATGAGAACACAACGAAATAATTATTGAAATGTGCCAATGAACAAAGCCAAATTTCTTTTAAGTTAGATCATTTATGATTTCAGCTGTAGTATATTTATCCTGAACAAATATCTCTTTCTTTCATACTGATACCTCGGAAAACAAAACAAGATGTGAGTTGCTTTTTTAATAATAAATAATTATTCTTTAACCTTCAGTTCTGGCATTTTCTCAAGTTCATGAAGAGGAATCTTGACAGATGAAGTCTGCCCCCGTTTCATGTCAAGAGGCACATGTTCTGGGTAAAGCATCTGGAAACGTCTGAAAATTCTAAAAACAAAATAGAATGGAGAGCTATTTGTAAAATAAAGTTGAGTTTATTTAATTTTTAAAACATAATGGAATTTACTTTGTTCATTGTAATTCTATGATGGATGATGCAGCTGCATGATCTGCATATTTCTTGTTTAGAATAAAAAAAATTGTGGTTCATATATCGTGAAGTTCACGATATATGAACCACAATTTTTTTCACTGAAGTGAAATTTGATACATTTGAACAGGAAAGAGAACGAAGTAGCCTCCAGTTTCCCAGTCAGACACTCTACCGGTGAAGCTAAAGGAAAATTCTCTCTAGCACAAAGCTAGAAGGTGACAGTAATCATATGTACAATTACAATATGCCACACTTGTATAGATTACTCCTATAACATAAGAGGCCACTGGTCGGTCTTTTTTCTATCGGATATGATTTTGCCGACTGCGACGCCTGTCGCCGTGTAAACCTCTAACTTTGTTGGGTTAATGTTTAGATAATATGGATTTTCCTGTTTCCATACGTAGATAAATGAAATGTATCGATCTTACATACATATTTTCAGTAACAATGCTATAAGTATTGTTAGCATACAAACCTCAGAATCTCTTTTCTTGTGAAGAAAGTACAATCCTGTAATATATAAAAGAGAGCTTAAAAAACAATTAAATTTGTATAAGATTAAATCGAAGTTAGTGGTTCACCAAAAATCCAAAAAATCAATTTTTCATGTTCATGTCATTTTACATACGCATGGTTTACTCTCAATATTAATTAAATACAACATGTATTTGCCCGATTTACGAAAAACTGAGTACATGAATCTGTATCTGTGTCTTTACCTGTTTACGTGTCTCAAACTGAAACATCACTTGGAAAATCAATCACCACCAAATATAATCCCTACCTGATACGCATCCAATTGATCTTCACTGAATGTAGTTATTTTGTTTCCCATTTTTTTATGTTCAAATTCTACGCGAATGTGCGTAGAAGATGAGGTTCATCTTATGACCATCTCTGCTTTCGCTCTGTTGACAGTTCATGTGACAGTTGAGATTTGATTGGTGTACTTCCGGTGAGTTAGTTACGAAAAGAAACTAATATAAGATATATCATTAAACATGTTTGAAGCAATTTGTAGATGTCTATCTTTGAGAAAAATATATAAATTGTTGTTTGAAATAAAAAAAAAATATTAGAATTTGTAAACATTTATAAAAATAATCATGTTTAACAGGAATAGAATTATGAGGGTAGTTTTTATCGTGGTATACCGGTTAGGTGTTATCCCGGTTATCTCCCCTGACGTATGGGAGGAGGAAAGATGAAAATGACAACAAACTTTGTTTTAGTCTACTAGAATGCGTACGTCTTGTAGGCAATAACGCCCGAGTACTAAATCTGAAATCATGTCAGGCATGACTGATCGTTTCAACTATGTGTACAGCTGTGATCTCGATGTAAACGTTGAAATCAAAATGTAAGTTGTCAATGTGATCCCAATAATATTATCATCTGATCATAATAGCCCACAAGAGAGCTTGATTATCCACAGAAGTGTTTATGCGATTTTATAAATAAATTTTCTTGTATCAGACCATCAGGTATATCACCTAATTCGTAGGGAAAAGGGCCACTAAACATTTGTTTAAAAGACGGATGGCACTCCTGAGAACTAGAACACTGTCCAAAAAAGAAAATAATTGTTAACATTTAAAAAAACCAGTACTTGGATTGAAAGGTATTTATTTAATTTGATCACGGACTAAGATAACTAATCTTATTCTGTGATTTGATATAGACTGTGGAGCATTCTTGGACCAAGGAAGTCAACGTGGTAGAAAGAACTTTGGGTTAGGGGTATATATAGGGTCTAAAAGTCAATATGTACAGTAAAACCCCGTTGTAATGCCACCCGTTAAACTGCCAAACCCGCATACCGCCATTAATTTACTCAGAACTGATCTCCCCCAACGTTAATGCACCCGTTGTAACGCCACCCGCATACCGCCATCCGCCATCATATTTCCAAAACAAATGGTTAAAATCACACTATTTTGACCTCGTTAAATACTGCCAATTTGAATCGAGTGCAGGTTTATCGGGATGACAGGAATGTTACAACCGTGTGTACATTGTATTGTTACATGTGACTGCCGACTGACCAGGTAATCAGCTGTGTGTTTTGTACGTGTGTACATTGTATTGTTACACGTGACTGACCAGGTAATCAGCTGTATAGTTGTGTACACATGAAATCATTGAACCATAGCTATATATAGACCTTAATTTGTTGTCTCTCTGCAGGTAAGTTTTACTGCAGAAATTATGATAAATAAAGCTCATTCAGCGATTTACTTATTATTATTTATTTTTTTCATATTTGAAATGAACACGCCATAGAGAAGATGCACTATTTTAGACTACATCATTTACGGTATCAGACAAACGACCATCAGAGATATTTTTAGCGTCAGATTTAGTGTGTAACATTGATAAACATTATTTGCGCATGACACTGCTATACATATTGTGATTATGTTTTGAACGCTCAACAGTTTGATACATTAAATTACACGATTGAAAAGAAAACGTATTTTGAAGTTTATTACTTTTTCAAAGTGTATGAACACTTGGGTTCAAAACTGTTAACCCGATATACCGCCAGACTCATTATACCACCAAAATCACAGAACACAGAAGGTGGCAGTATAATAAGGTTTTACTGTATGTGGTACAGTTAATCTTTAACTAATATTGGTGATCATCCCTTATCTAAGTCAATGGATTTATATTTTGTATAAATCTGTAAAAGGAAAGGTAAAATACAATAGCCTGACAAGGATGTGAAACTGGGGTCTCCAAACTTTAGACAGACGCTCTAAACAACTAACCTACACACCTACTAATTAGCAGTCGCCCCAATTACCTTCTTCCCTCTGTCAAAAAAATCTTTGACCCTGGATACACATGAGATCCTAGATCACCTTCATGGTTATATTATTATATATTTTGTTAAATGCCAAATATAACAGTCAAGGAAAAATGCAATTGCTGAACATGGGACTTGTGAACTGGAGAGTGACACTAACTGGCTGAGTTATATACCTGGTCAACAGCATTGTATATAAAACTGATTTTGTTACAAATAAAGAGTAAGTACAGTTGGGAGCAAACTTAACAGGTCTAGTGCCCCGGAGTTAACAAGAAAAATGAACTCCAGTGTTCAAGCTTGACTGCACTAGAGTTAACACGCTTGTGAACTGAAGTTCACATCCTTGTGCACTGGAGATAACACTGTAGTGCACTGGTGTGTACTTCTATATTTTGTCTAGTGCACTTCCTTGTTCACTACATGTGCACTACAAAGTGCACTAGATATACCAAATGTAGTTGTATACCATACTCTTAACATACATTGTATGTCATAAAAGGTTGACAAGTGTAACAGAATAACATAGACGTAGAAGTAGAAACAGTAAATACAGGTGTGGAATTTAACAAAAAGAAAAAGATCCTGGCCCAAAGGTGCATGCCCTGTGGAAAATTTTGAAATCTAGAAATCTCTGTGGTGCCATCTAGGTTTAAAATATAGCTTTTCAAATCTGCAGAAAGTTTAGATAAATTTACAAAATATCTACTGGCCCGACATAGCTGGTTGAAAAACCCACTGGTCCAACTGGTAAACCACTGGCCACGGGCCAGCAGAGCGGTGGTTAATTCCACCCCTGTGAATATGTATAAATATATAATATTGTATGAAATGCTTAGTATAACCATGTATTTTATGTGTCTGTTATTTCAGTGGAACCCTTGAGGGGGAGAGAGAGCGCCCTAGTTACACAGAGTTGTTGGAGGATTCCATGCTGAAGTTTTCTGGTGCCTATACAGAGGGTTGTGCAGATTTATATGTGACATGTCAGGTTTTCTCAGATGGCCGACCACTGTCCTTGGCGGTCAGTACGTCCTACAAGGCCTTCAGTACACGCTGGAAGTAAGTCTAAAACTCTTATTGACATGCTGACCATTACTTACCAATCTCCATTAAGATCAGACATACATAGCGTAGAAGGAAACATTGAAAGTATATATTAATTAAGTGTAATTATTCAAGTCTGATGGTAAAGGTGTCCGTTATACTCAGCGTATTTGACCAATGTTTGATTAATAATCAATTTACATTGTTGTTCATTCAAATTCCTCATTTGTGAGAATGTTAGAGTAAAGGTCTGCTGGCCATTGTAGCAGTATCAATCGCAAATTAAAATCTTTTGCTGTGTTTTCACATTTTAAAGCCACATGTTTACTGTTATAATGTTAAGTGCCTGTCTGTGGTGTGTAATTGGCTCTGACACTTCTTTTCGTATTTGTTTAATTTTATTCATTTTAGTTTCTACGAAATCCAACATGAACTCTACTCAATAACTCTGAAGGAAGCTCTAGTCATTTGGTTACAAATTATTCAGGGCTTTTGGTTTAAGGACTTTGTAAATTGAAATGGCAAAACAATTTCATTGTTGGACGGATCATTGTATGTAATTACCGGTGATTTTCCCAAAATCTATGTCAGTTAGCAATCGATTGTTCTGCAGTAGTCACCAGTGATTACTAATCTAAGGTAAAGACCTTGAATGTGTTTTAAAAATATTACATAAATCCTACACATATGATTAATTCCAGTTGGAATGAGTGGCTGGTATTACCAGTGAAGTATAATGACCTGCCAAGAAGTGCTGTACTGGCCTTAACCATATGGGACATCTATGGACCGGACAAGACGATCCCAGTAGGGGGAACAACTCTACCACTCTTTGGAAAACGAGGGTATTGTCTGTTTTCTAGTGAATAATTACAGTTAATTTGATGAAAATATGTAGGACACATTATGATTTTATCATATTTTTATATATTTTTTTTTTTTTTGAAGCAGTTTCAGACCTTAAATAGTACTCCTGAACAGTCATTTTGAGGGACTTTTTTCTTTCTACTGCCATGAACAACCGCAAAACTCATAGTACATTGTATTAAATGTGTGTAATTATTAGATGATATGGGGCCAGGAAGTAATTCCAATAGTGTTGACAAATTGAGGTTGTCAAATATTTTTTGAAGCAATCTGCTCCTTTATCGAGACACAGAACACTTACTTTACATAAAAATAACAAAGAAATATAAAAGGATATAACTAATATTTAAAAACACTAAGCCTCTCAGCTAACGGAGGCAGGATTTACACTTAGCCTCTCAGCTAGCGGAGGCAGGATTTACACTTAGCCTCTCAGCTAGCTGAGGCAGGATTTACACTTAGCCTCTCAGCTAGCAGAGGCAGGATTTACACTTAGCCTCTCAGCTAGCGGAGGCAGGATTTACACTGACAGCATTTGCTGACAAATGATAGTGCGTGTATGTGAAGAACGACAAAGAGATTATAATATCTTTATAAATATATATGTTATTGAGTTTAACTTCTTCAGTGTTCATTTAACTGAATGCCAATGGTGTTTGATTACAGAACATTCAGACAAGGTATGCATGATCTGAAAGTATGGCCTAAAATAGAAGCTGACCCACAACACAACTCCAGCACACTTGGCAAAACCAAGGACAAGAACGACCAGATGAGTCGCCTGGCAAAGGTGAGGTCATGGGGATAAACTTTCTTATTTTGGATATGGACATTTTATCAGTTCTTTGCCAGCTCAAAATATATATCAAACTGTAACCCGATATTAATATCTTTGTAAGAAGTTATGAATATATAAATGCAATTTTTTGAAGTACTTCCTTCAGAGCAATGCTCAAGTTGTGGCTGCAGCAGTTTCTTTGTTAATTTCTTCAATAAATTTTCATCACAGCAATTGGATTAAGGTTTGTGAAAATGTTAAATTCATCTTTATTACCTTTACGGCCTCAACCTACTTCAAGGTCATATGGGTCAAATAAGGCCTACAGCCACGACACTTGGTTGATCTGTAATGTGATTTCAATCATAGCATATCTATAAACATTTAAGACATTTTTTTTAAGAATTCAAGGTTTACATTTCAGTTGAGTAAGAAGCACCGTGATGGACACATGTTGAAAGTTGACTGGCTTGATCGACTGACCTTCAGAGAAATAGAGATGGTCAATGAGAAACAGAAGCGGGACTCTAACTTCATGTATCTGATGATTGAGTTCCCCTTCATTAACTATGAGGAGATGGAATATACTGTCATCTACTTTGAAAAGGTATTTATAAAAATCATTATATGTAGAGTATATTATCTTAAAAAGGTTAATTAACTGGTAAAGTGTATACTTACTATATATGATCTTATAAAGGTATTATCATTCTGTATATGACCATATGTACCTAATTCCTACGGACCTTTTAGACCTTTTAAAGCACACTGGTGTAATTTTACCTAATCTATGATGGTGTAGTTTTAAATAACACTTACTATATAATTATTATAAATTGATTGGTTTCACATTGTTTAAATGAAATTAAATAAAACTGTTGACGAAGACAAAGCCCCAAAGATAAGATTATATTTTTTTAGGATGGCGATGAACCATTTAACTACAGAACACATGCAGACATTGTCACCATACCGGACCCAGAAATACTCGCGGTAAGATATTTGTTACACAGGTTTTATTTGTCTTTATGTCTTTTTTCTGTAATTTGTTGAATTGAAAATCTGAAGTCTAGATTCTGTTTGATTTCACTTCTGAGTTTCTCATGTGCAATGTTAGCTTTTATGTATGGGCTATTGCATTAATTGATAATTGTTTTAACAGGAGAACCTTGTGGAGAGTAAACATCATAAGCTAGCCAGAAGTTTACGGAGTGGACCAACTGACAGAGACATGAAACCAGACGCCAAGACGAGGGATCTCCTGAACGTATGTATATATTATTCATGGTCACTTTTCTCCTTATCCTTTCATATTATTTGTCTTTTAATAAGCTTATCCTGTTTATTAAATAAGTCTGAGAAATGAATTACATGTCATCTTCTCATCTTCACAGGCCATCGCTACTTACCCGCCTTTCAAACCGTTGACATCAGAAGAGCAGGATCTCATATGGAAGTTTAGGTTCTACCTTTGTAGTCAGAAAAAGGTGAGAACCATGCCAAATGTACAATTTTCCAATGCATTTGATGATACAATTTGGTGCAAATTGTCATATCACCATGTTACCTAACCTTATATATTTTCATTTAGACAGTGTTATTTCTGTTATATTTTCATTTAGACAGTGTTATTTCTGTTGTATTTTCATTTAGACAGTGTTATTTCTGTTATATTTTTATTTAGACAGTGTTATCCCTGTTATATTTTTATTTAGACAGTGTTATCCCTGTTATATTTTCATTTAGACAGTGTTATTTCTGTTATATTTTCATTTAGACAGTGTTATTTCTGTTATATTTTTATTTAGTCAGTGTATCCCTGTTATAATTTTATTAAGACAGTGTTATTTCTGTTATATTTTTATTTAGACAGTGTTATCCCTGTTATATTTTTATTTAGACAGTGTTATCTCTGTTATATTTTCATTTAGACAGTGTTATTTCTGTTATATTTTCATTTAGACAGTGTTATTTCTGTTATATTTTTATTTAGACAGTGTTATCCCTGTTATATTTTCATTTAGACAGTGTTATTTCTGTTATATTTTTATTTAGACAGTGTTATCCCTGTTATATTTTTATTTAGACAGTGTTATCCCTGTTATATTTTCATTTAGACAGTGTTATTTCTGTTATATTTTCATTTAGACAGTGTTATTTCTGTTATATTTTTATTTAGACAGTGTTATCCCTGTTATATTTTTATTTAGACAGTGTTATCCCTGTTATATTTTCATTTAGACAGTGTTATTTCTGTTATATTTTCATTTAGACAGTGTTATTTCTGTTATATTTTCATTTAGACAGTGTTATTTCTGTTATATTTTTATTTAGACAGTGTATCCCTCTTATAATTTTATTTAGACAGTGTTATCCCTGTTATATTTTCATTTCGACAGTGTTATTTCTGTTATAATTTTATTTAGACAGTTTTATCCCTGTTATATTTTCATTTAGACAGTGTTATTTCTGTTATGTTTTTATTTAGACAGTGTTATCCCTGTTATATTTTCATTTAGACAGTGCTATCCCTGTTATATTTTTATTTAGACAGTGTTATTTCTGTTATATTTTTATTTAGACTGTTATTTCTGTTATATTTTCATTTAGACAGTGTTATCTCTGTTATATTTTCATTTAGACAGTGTTATCTCTGTTAGATTTATTTGTCGACTGTGCTAACCCTGTTATATTTATGTGAAGAGCCTGTTTCCATACCTGAGTTATGTGAATACTCAGTATTGAAACAAATTACATTTATCTGTAGGCCTTAACAAAATTTCTCAAGTGTGTCAACTGGAAGCTCCATCTTGAAGTAAGACAGGCTCTGGAGCTGCTCAGTCGCTGGAGCCCGATAGACGCCGAGGACGCACTCGAACTTCTGTCACCTGTCTACCAACATCCGACCGTCAGGAAGTACGCTGTCTCCAGACTAAGACAAGCTGACGATGAGGTACACTTAACTACTGCTGGCTTTTGGCCCGTTTGTATATAATCTAACATTAAAATCTGAAAACATTCTTTAATGGTCAAGTCATCACTTGTCTTTGATAAGTATGCAGATATGTCTATTCTGCCTTTCTGATATTAAAGGTGAATGGTGTATATTGTATAAAATATGAAGATAGGAAAGCTTGTGGCTTTTAGGGTAAAAAAACAGTCCATGTTAACAAATTACAATCAGGAAATGTGCATTATCCTTAAATGAGAATAACGGACTCCGTCAAATACTAGAATGTTTTTTAACTTCTTTCTTATATCCTTGCATCACGAAGTAAGGGTAAGTTAGGTATTAATACATGCTGACAGTAAATTAGGATTGACTATAATTGCTAGTTTTCCTCTCTGCACATGTTGTTTAAAAGACTTAGATAGTAAATATCTGAAAAAAAAGATTTTGGTTTTAAGACTAGATGTGATTATATTATGACAAAATTTCTCCACAGGACCTGCTGCTGTACTTCCTCCAGCTTGTTCAAGCTCTGAAGTATGAGAACTTTGAGGAGATTAAGAATGGCGTGGATAACTTAAGTACGAGGCGGGATTCCATCAGTGCGGCTGATACAGGCACACTTTATCCAGAAAAAGACAGGTCAGGCTCCTGTATCTCTTTGTTATAAATCTTATTATTATACCTTATTTATATAACAATGTGACTTATTGGATAATATTGATCACATGAGTGGGGATTTAAGACAATGTCACATCTCACATGCTTGGATCATATTTCCCTTATTTGGAGCCTCTCCAGAAAAATGAGTAAGAGGCACCACACCTACCCGGTAGTCTCTGAGTGATTGAAGCAGATCATCTTCACTGTTGTGTTATTGCTTTATTTCAGTATAATAAAATATGTATTGCCCTTATGGTAGGGAAACACGATTCTTTGTTTCCCCTCTATTTATGGTAGGGAAACACGATTCTTTATTTCCCCTCTAGTTATGGTTAGGGAAACACGATTCTTTGTTTCCCCTCTTTTACTGAAATTAGTCATGTTTCACTCAGTGGCTCTTTACTCCTCAGGTCTGTGAGTATGCTGTCCCGTGCTTCCTCTCACGACTCTATACTGGACGCTTTAGGAGGCATCTCACCCAAATCTGAAGAAAGTCCTGAATCCAAGTTAGAGAAAGAGGTAAGTTGTGAACTAAAACTGAGCAAAATCAGGAACTTAAATTAGAGAAAAAAATGTAAGAAAAACTCAAGTTCGAGTAAAATAGGGATCTAATTGATATATAAATATATGACATTAGTCCTTAGGAACATGCTTAATCTAAGTTAGATAATTTGGGTGTTGAATTTTGAACACAAACGTAAGGAAAGTCCTGAACCAAAAAAAGTGAGACATAAGGATTAGTTTTTTTCACCCATTTATTAACTTTGACCTTTATGATGTTACAGGTAAATTACAAATACAATGTATATATACATTGTACATGTATATGTGCATAAATATTTGTGAATTAGAAACAATGTAGAAAAGCTATTTCCATTTTGAACAAGTTAATGCTACATATAGTAATATTTTATAAAGTTAAGAGTCCTGACAATTTTACTAAATCTCTCACTACTAGTGATCTAAATGACTGGAAAGACAAAAGATATCAATCTGAGATGTGGTTCCTACATGGTTAAATGATCATTGTTACTTTGTTCCAGATGGATCTAGCAACATTCCTCATATCCAGAGCATGCAACAACTCCAATCTAGCCAACTTCTTCTACTGGTAAAACATATAGTTGTATTCTTAATCCATCTTCTACCTGTAATACACATTCCAGCTTTGTTACTCAGTGATGCAAATATTTGATTTCTCCATATATATTTTACCTTGAAAAAGTGAAAGTCCCTCTGAAGAATCAGAATCTCCCTACAATTCGTTCTCATGTGGAAAAATTCCTAACTTGTTGAAAATGTGTCTAAAAATATCAAGTACAATAAGTTTTCTTCTGTTTAGAAAGCATTGGATCAATGGTAATCACATTGAGTACTCTTAATTATTAGATGTTGTTTAATGTGAAAGTAATTTCAATATTATTTTTCTGGTAAGAGAATGTTTGCTAGTAAAATCTCCCTACCAAAAACTCGATCTTCCTGCCAGTGAGAGACAAATCTCCCTATTGTGTGTTCTGATTATCACATGTACCGATATGTTCATATCTGTAACCTTTATACACAGGTTCCTGTCTGTGGAGAGTATAGACTCCGACACCTCGGCTAAAAACCAGAAAGTCACTGAGATGTACCATGTAGTAATGAAACGCTTTAGCCAGGCTCTCTTCAAGGTAATAATTAGGTCTTAGATTACAATATTACGTCTTAGTGTCATGTCAAACATATTAAGTTGATTGCCACCATTTTTAGCTTGCCTATTTGAAGATTAGATTACGGGTGCTGATTCAATCTCTGACATTGGCAACGCCAGGTTAATTTTTTTAAATACGACCTTCAGTAATTGTACTAGGATGCTGTAGTGTGGCACTTAAGTGACAAATAGTCTTTTCTTTTTAGTGAGATTATTTATTAATTAATCTATTTTTTTACTATTTTTCAAATACATGTATATTCTTTGAACATCTTTCAACAGAAATTGTTTTTGTGTTTGTTTGGCTGGGACAGCTTCTGTTGGTAAAATTTGGTTCATACTTAATTGCAATTGGTGCTTATGATAGAGTCTACATGGTGAATAGCAACATTTTAGCCAGCTCCCAAATAAAAAAAACAAGATGGCCACCATGGTTTCTGATTGGCTGAGAATTTAAGGGCTGTTATTTCATGTTTTATTGCTTTGATTTTGTTCATACTTGTTTGTATATAAGTTACACTATACTATGCTGACCCCAGAATCCAAAATAATAACTACCTATGTTAATAGTAATTTAGAAAACTTAGAAAGTTGATGCGATTGGTTAACAGGGAGGACCAGACTCTCGGTTGAGGAGGGCAACTATTTCCAGGCAACAGATGTTTATAGAGAAACTTGTGGACCTGGTCAAAATGGTCAGCAGGGAGAGCGGCAACAGGAAGAAAAAGGTCAGCACAGACCTAGAACCATTGCTGTCACTTACTCGGTGTTTTAAATTTAGTTGTCTCTGATGATTCATTATGTTATCCTTCTGTTAGGATAGCGTGCAATGCATACTAAAAACATACTGTGTTTTATAGATTTAAAGATTTTAAGAATACTATCAAGCCATTTTTTTGCATTCAATTAGTAATTTGGTTATGCTCCATGCAACTATTTTACAATGATTTTCATTTGAAATATAATCAAAGTTATATATCTTTTGTTTAATGATGCCTGAACAAATTATTTTCGAGGTATTTGAATTTAGATAGAATTAACGTACGTCATATGTACCATATCAGAGTTTGTAAAATACATATAATGTATACAATACTTTTTTAATTGTTTTCAGAGTGAGAGACTCCAGGCTCTACTCCAGGACCAAGAGGTGTGTAAGATAAATTTCTCTGACTTTGAGCCGCTACCCTTACCACTGGATCCTGATGTAAAAGTGTATGGAATTATACCAGAAAAAGCTGCCCTATTTAAAGTAAGTGATGATTTGGCTATATGTAAATTACGTTGTATTGTGGTCCGTAACTGATTAATACGAGGTTCCTATGTTGTAAACAATTTGGTGGTGTTTTCTGTTGTAGAGTGCTCTCATGCCTTGTAAGCTGACATTTAAGAGTATAGATGGACCAGACTATGTCGCTATATTTAAGCATGGGGATGATCTTCGACAAGACCAGCTTGTTCTACAGATGATCTCCCTTATGGACAAGGTAGGGAAGACATAAATGATGGTTAAAAGACATGCTATCGATCAACAAGTAAACTTTTGGATCCCAACTAGAACACGTTCACCCACCAGTCAATACAAATTATTAAGAATCTATTGACTTTCATTCTAAATTAAATTATGATTTGTAAGTGGTGGATAACAAATCTCCACATCTCCCACCATCCAGAGAGACAAGTACTTAACCATATCCCTACAAATCCAGGATGACAAAGATCCATCATATGTTGAACCTTGAGGTTGGCTAGTAAGTTTAGTTCATTTGTTAGTGTTTGAACCTCAGTGATCTGGTAGGTGCAGGCATCAGAACCAATGGAAGTCTGCCCTACAAGGAGGGTCTGTAATAATTTTATTGTTAATATTTATCTTGGGTTAGCCCATAATGGAGGTATTGATTATCTGCTTCAGATTGTATATATCAAGCATATAAAAGATTCATTTGGGCGGTCACCATAATGAAAACATCTGTTGAGAACGGTGCAGGAGGCAAATGCTTGAGCGGCTAGGAACTTTATAGAATCAATATACAATCCATGTTGTTGAGGATGATTTGTTCTTTTGGAGAACAAAATTATTTAACATCCAAGCATGTTTGTTCCATTGCAAACACCTCGACATATAAGAGACAATAATAAAGTGTCGAGCCTTGTTAATACTGAGCCATGACTCTCATTGAAAAAATAAATATGTAATAGGCTACAGCACACCTTGAATAGAAAACAAATATCTGTCCGTAAAAGAAATAGCTACAAAGTTAGACAATTATGTGGTAATTGATCAATTAACAAGGCATGACTGTGTTACCTGTAGAGCACTTTATCGTGTATCCTCAAATTATTACCTCGTTACTAGTAATCAGCAGGTATTCTGAAAAAGATCATTTTTTACACTTTTAAGATATTTCAAAATAGAAAATGTTTTTCAGCTACTGAGAAGAGAGAACCTGGACCTCAAGTTATTACCATACAAAGTATTGGCTACAAGTAGTAAACACGGTGAGTTTTAGGCTACTGGCAGAGTACAGTAGTAAACACGGTGAGTTTTAGGCTACTGACAGAGTACAGTAGTAAACACGGTGAGTTTTGAGCTACTGGCAGAGTACAGTAGTAAACACGGTGAGCTACTGCCGTTTCAATTTTGAACATTTTTCTTTAGAGTTAAACTATTGGGGTTATTTTAAGCTCACATTTCTAAAGTGCAATATGAATGTTATAGATAGTTTTCACCTCATGGCAGTCTTAGGGCAAAAAATTACTTGTAAGTGTTTGATAACATAATTGAAAAATTTAAGGTCATAATCTTGCTCAATTTCTCTTGTTTTTTAGAGAGAGAGGATATTGGATACTTAAAATTACGGATTCTGTTGAATGGTTCATTCTTTTTACAGGACTTGTACAGTATATTGATTCTATTAATGTTGCTGATGTTTTGGACAAAGATGGCAGTATTCAAAATTTCTTTCGTAAGCATGCACCAGCAGAGGGAGCCCCCTATGGTATATCTCCAGAGGTCATGGACAACTATGTCAAAAGTTGTGGTGAGTGAAAAAAATACTGTGAATTAGTCACATCAGATAAAATTTTATTTACTAGTTAATAGATATTATGTTGTAAAACAACAGGTATAAAATTTAATCAGAAAGAACTATTATTTGTATATGTATTTTACAAACCATTTTACAAATCACATAATTTAATTCCCCTTGCAACTTAAAAATTTCTCGAGTTGCAGTGCCTCAGGTACAGTTCACTTTTATAGTACTGGTAGTAGTGAATTATTAATGTAAACCATAATACGGTACATTCACCCTCTGACCTAAAAAAATCAAATTACCTAGCTAGTGTTGAATGAGCCAATGGACACTTATACTATTATGCTAACTATATATCTTTTATGCATTGTATATACCCATGTAATAATTTGAATAATATATATATATATCTTTTTTATTGGCCTTGTTTTGAAATTGCCCTACTTTTCAATAGTGAACAGAGCCAAACATCTCCAATTTTACGGTTTGCAGTTTTAAGGGGGGGGGG